ACGGTAAATTGATAACCAAATAAGAAATAGAGGTGATTACAAAAGATAAAATAGATCATTTCAATTACATGAAATTTTGCCACAAAATTAATTCTAGGACTAGAATTTCCTACATCAACTGGGGGAAAATATGTGTAGCAAATAAATTTGGTAAGGGTCTGATATTCAAGATATATAAGCAATTAACAGAAATATCTAAGAACAAAAGCTATTCCCTAATAATTTTTCAAAGAATATAAACAATTCTACAAAGAAACTATGAAAAATTAATAAACTATTAATCATATGAAAAAAATGCTCAAAATCAATAAAACTACGAGAAATGAAAATCAAAACAAGTCTGAGGTTCCACATTATACCCATTATATATCATTATACCCATCCAAAGATGACAAAAGAAGAGAACAGTCTCTATTGGAGGGCTTGTGTAAAGATAAGCATTATTAGTAGAGCTGGTCCAAATATTCTAGGAAGTAATTTGGAATTATGCAAAGAAAAGTGACCAAAATGGCCATATCCTTTGGCCCTGACATCCCAAGGCATATATCCCAAGGATGTTAATGATAAAAAGAAAACCCCTTAGTCGTCAAAACATTTATTTTTTGTAATAGAGAACAACTGGAAACAACGTAGATATCCAACAACTAGAGAACTGCTAAACGAGACATATGAATGTACTAGAAAATTACTGTATTTTGTTTAAAATGGTTAATATAATTCCCAATATTCATAGAAAGCTTTTTATGAATACATACAAAATGAAGTAAATAGAATCAGGAAAACATACATGAAGGGTTCTTAACCTTTTATTTGTCATGGCCTACCCTCTGGCATTCTGGAGAAGCTTTTTGTTCCCTTCATAGAATAATGGTTTTAAAAGCATAAAACAAAATATATAGGTTTACAAAAGAAATCAATTTATGTTGAAATACAGTTACCAAATATTTTTAAAAACAAGTTCACAGACCCCAGGTTAAGAACTCCTAAAATACACAATGATTACAACAACGTAAATGCAAAGGGAAAAAAAACAGTAAAACTCAATGCTACGAAATTATAACGACCAAGTCTGGTACGAGAGAAGAAAGATAAAAAAGACACCTCCATCTATTCCTTGCAGAGGTGACAGAGTATACTCCATAGTTCTATAGTGGATAAAGTTAAGAATACCTTTTCAATATGCTGATTAGTTTTGCTGAACTGGGGCTTTTTAGTTTTGATTTTGACTTTTTTAAATTCTTTTGTTGTAAGGGATAATTCCCTATAACAGTGTAAAGGGAAAGAATATACTAGGAAGTATGGATTATGAAAAAACAAAAGAAAGCAATAAAATTTATTTTAAAAATTAATAATCTTTAAACAAGCACAAAAGAGATTTTGAAAATTAAATATGAGAAACAGAAGTGAAGTTTTTAAAATCTGATATAATATTCAAGAGATTTTTAAGAGTAACAAAATTAATAAACTAGTAGATAATTTGATCCAAAAAGAATGAATATAAGAAACAAAAATAAGACACCCATCTTTTCTCTGTAATCAATAAACTATTTTCAGGGAATATTCTTTGTAAGGGGGTTTGTTGGGATGTATATTGGGAAATATCTGCTGAGTCAAAACAAAATCAGTAAATTTTTTTAAAAAACAAAAGAAATGGAAAAGGAGGATATTTACTGTAAATAGAAAGGGCGAAAAGTTATCACAAATTACTATACCAAGTTAAATGGAAACAAAACTAAAAATATAAGTGAAATGGATGACTATCTTCAAAAATCTTAAATACTAAAACAAGAAACAGAAGTAACTCAAAAAATATTAAACAGAGAACACAAGTAACTCAATCTCAAGAGAAATTAAACAAGCCATAAATGGACTCTCAGAAAAATACTCTTGGTCCAGACAAATTTACAAATATATTCTATTACATATTTTAAAAACAAATATGCCTTTTTATATATTATGAACTTCCCTTCCCTCCCCTCCAAAAAAAGGGAGAATTAATACTTTACCAAACACCTTCTATGAAACAAACATAATCTGGATTCCCAAATTAGAGAGAAATAAAGCAGAAAAAGAACTGCAGAATAATATCACTAATGAACATGAATAATATCTGTGACTTAAGGAAACCTCCTCATGTGGGAGCTTGCTCCATCAATGCTGAGGCACTAAGAGGTAAAGTAACTTACCAAGGGTCATAGACCTACTAAATGTGAGAGGCAGAATTTGAATCCAGATTTTCCTACTCCAAGCTCAGCAAGCTATCTACTATGCCACGCAGCCTTCCCACTAATGATTACCTACACAAAAATATTCAATAAAGTGCTTGCAAAAAAAAAAAAGGATTACAGTAACATATACAAAAAAATCATTAAAATCAAGGAATGGTTTATGCTAGGAATGCAAAGATGGTTTAACACTAAGAAAACAAATAGCATAATAAATCACATTAATGATCAATGGATACTGAAAAAATGTTCTACAAAATACAGTGCCTATGCCAAAAACAATAAAAAGCAAAAAGCAAGAAGACTTTATCTTAAAACCACAAGCTATCATTATCTATAATGGGAAAATACTAGAAGTTTTCCCAATAAGATCAGGAAATACGGATGGCCACCATCAATGTTATCATTGGACATATTATAAGAAATTCTAGATATAACAATAAAACCAAACCCCCAAAAAAGATTTAAAGGAATAAGCATTGGCAAAAGGAGGCAAAAGTATCTCTATTTGTAGATGACAGTTTATTTAGCATCAAGAATCAAACAAAAATAATCTAGACAATTTCTTCAGCAAATGAGATAATATATGTAAAGCAAGTGGTTTGAAAACCTGAATTACTATTATTTTTCAGCAGGACATAAAAGAAATATACAAAAGATCACTTTCCAAATGTTACTACTAATAGAAACCAGGGAAAGAGATATGTTATTTAAATTAAAATCAAAATGCATTAAATACTTGGGAGTTAATTTACCAAGAGACACATATAGGATTTATATAAATAGAAATACAAAATAATTTTCATAGAAATAAAGAAAAGGAAGACATATACAATAGTCATGATTAGACTATCCCAATATAGTAAAAGTAACAATACTATTCAAATTAATTAAACTACAGATTTAACATCAAACCAAACTGCCACTTTCGGCAAAACGCTAACAAAATCACTATGAAACAAGAAAAGGTCAAATATGACCAAAGAAATAACGAAAAAAGTAGAAACTAAGGGGGTCTGGCATAAGCAGATCTCAAATTATCTATTATAAGGTAGTTATTATCAAAAGTATTCAGTATTGCCAATCAATCAACAAGCATTTATTAAGCACCTACGATGTGCCAGGCACTGTGCTAGGCGATGAGGATACAAAGACAAAAATGAGACAGACCCTACTCTCAAGGAGCTTACACTCTTGTGGTGGAGACAATATATACATATGTAAGTATATACAGAATAAAAACAAAATAAATACAAGATAGTTTAGAGAGGGAGGGCATTAGCAGGTGGAGGAATCAGTAAGAGGCTTCATGTAGCTAAGTCTTTATGCAAGGAAGGGATTCTATGAGGTGGTGATAAAGAAAAAGTACAGTCCTTAGAGGGAGTGCATGGGCAGCAGAGACGGAGCGCTGTCTAGAGGAATCCAAAAAAGGCTAATTTGCCTAAACTATAAAGTGCAAGAAAAGGAAAAATATATAATGAAGGTGGAAAAGGAGGCAAGGGCCAAGTTGTAAAGGGCTTTAAAAAACCAAAGAGAAAAGTTTATATAGGGAGCCACTGGAGTTTACTGAGTGAGGGAGTGACATGGTCAGAAGTGTACTTTTTTAAAGTCACTGGTAGCTGTGAGGAGGATGGACTGGAGTAGGGAGAGACTTGAGGCAGGGAGACCAATTAGGAAGCCACTGCAATAGTCCAGGTGAGAGGTGATGTGGGTCTAGATACTAAATAAAAATAGAAACATTGATCAATAAAATAGATCAGATAAGCAAGGAAATTCATACAACAGTCTAGTCTTCAATAAATCCAGGAATATAAAATATTAGAGAAAAAAATTTTTATTATTCAATAAGAACTACTAGGAAAATTGGAAAGTAATTTGGTGAAAAACAGGTTTAGCCCAGCATTTTACAACATATATCACAGTAAATTCCAGATAAGTAAACAAGCTAACTGTAAAGTTTCTGTATTGAAAAGTTAGAGAGTAGCAAGTTCTCTCTCATAACTTAATAGGAAAAGAATATGTAACCAATAATGAAACAGAGCATATTATAAAAGACAAAACAAACTATTTCAATTGTATAAAATTTAAAAGCTTTTGTACAAATAAAATAATTTCAGCTAAAATAAGAAGAAAAGAACTATGAAAAATATTTGCATTAAACAGCTCTGATAACAATCTGACATCTAAAATCTGGAGGGAATTAACACAAACTTTTAGGAATAAAAGCCATTCCCCAAATGACAAGTAATCAAAGGATATGAACATAATATTCTCAAAAGAAATGCAAACTATTACCAATTATCTTTTAAAATTGTTCAAAATCTCTACTAATTGCAGAGAAGCCCAAATTAAAACAATTTTGAGATTACCTGACACGAAAATAGCAAAGATTCAATGTCATCATAGATACAGGGGAGACTTAAAAGGCATGCAAATTCACTTCTTATAAACTTACAATCACTTTGGAAAACAATATATATTTTGCAAGAAAAGTTACAATATTGCTCATGTCCTTTGACACATCTAACTTACTACTGGATTCAAATTCCAAAAAGGCTACTGACAAGAAAAGTATGAAAATATCCATAGCACCAGCACAACCACGGAGGATTTGGTCATTCAGTTAGTCACAGGGTCAACAAATCTTAGTCAACTAGTAATGACAGCTGAGACACTGCTCCCCGACCCAAGACTGATTCAGATCAAAATGAACAAGTTACATAGAAAGGGGAACCACTCACTGGTGTTCCTCTCCAGATCCAACACGTATCTTACCTTGGCACATGATGGTTGATCTTGTAAGCATTAAAGACCTCTTCTATCTTATCTTCTACTTTTGCCTAGTAAAGAGGCAGGAGATGGGGGAGAGAAAACAGAGATGTAGATAAGAAGTCTATAAAATCAGTATCCTATTCCCTTAGAGAGCTCCTGCCAGTAGCAATCAAACAGTAACTATTTATCAGTGCCTACTATGTGCCAGGCACTATGCTAGGTGCTAAGGATAAAAGATAAAAGTGAAAAAAATCCCTGCTATTAAGGAGCTTACATTCTAGCAGGGATAGACAACATGCATATGTATATGATTATTTAAAACAGGTTAAAGAAACATTCTTTGGTTAAGGAGGAATTCATTTCCATTTACAATATTTAAGTTATCTTCTCAGATCTATGTAACAAATAATGTTACAAATTCCAAAGTTCACTTTAACTTATGCTTTTAAGCTACAATGTAGTTTTCTCTAAGATAAACTTCAAAAACATACCCTCGAGGTGTTTTATTTATATAATACATATTGCCTTAGAGTCCCTAGGTACTTACTGTACTAGAACTGTCTCAGGATTACTTAATGCTATTAAAGGAAGGAGCAATAAGAATACTTTAAAATAAACAGGATGAAACAGAAATGTCAAACATGATACTGCCATCAACACTTCAGAGTGTAGTCCAAACCAGATTAAAATGTAACTGGGAAATATTTAACAAAAACAAAAGAGAACATAGCTAATAACATAGCTAACGTTAATATGTGGTTTTCTAAGTCATTATACAACAGCAGGGGTCCTTACGTATGGTTTAGTGGACCCAATTTCTATTTGAGTCTGACATCTCTGGTCTAAAACATTTATAGTTAGCTTTGGAATTTGTTTTTAAGTGACTTGAACCAGGGGTATATCTGATGTGTCAGGGAACTCAAAACACTTCAAAAGCCATCAGTAAGTTAGACTGAACTTGGAAATAAGTGGAAAGATTTCCAGATTCTTAAATTTCCTATTCACTGCATTTTATGTAGTGAAAACAGCACCCCTCAGTCTGATATGAAGCACCAACCTAAATAAGCAGAGCTGTTTTTTTTCTAAATTGCTCTATTTCTAATTCATACCTTCCCCAGGTTGGGAAAGATAATTAAATATGGTTTCAAAGTCTTCCTGAGGGGCTTTAAGCTCAATGATAAAGAAAAGTAAATAAGAAATATAAAACAGTAAACAAAGGGACTTAGGGCAGCTATTCTGCTAAATTGTGTCAAAAAGCAAGATTTGCTTAGTAGACACTACAAGATCAGACCACGATGACTGGAAGAAACAAAACTAAGTAGAAAGACCTCTCTCAAACACAAACCGACTTGAATCCATATGCTTCATTTAAAACTGTTCAAAGGCTAGTACAAAGCAGTGGTGTCAAACTCAAACAGAAACTGATCCCTGAAGCCATATATTGACCTAAAAAACCTGTGGGCCCAAAGTTGGACATCTCTGACGTAAAACAGCTAACCTTGATATCTGCTCAACATCGAGATGTCTAGGCTTCCAATGAAAAAACAAGTCTACATCTTAGAACTCTCCCATAAGAAGCCCTCCCCTCTTCAGGACCCATCTGTCAAACATCAGACCCATGAAGCCAGTGGATAAAGGAGATGTTTACTTCGAGGCTACATCTGTACATTCTAGGCTACTTATCCATATATTCTATACAAATATATTTCACTTCACCAAGAGGAAAATGTCAGTATTATTTATTTGAGTAACACTGTATACCTTCTCCAAAGATTTTCAGATTTTCTGTCTCTTCCTTCAAGACAAGCTGGTGGTAATTCAATGAAATTTTGTAACTAACTCAAACTTGAACATTTCAAGCTTTGAGCTGCAATAATAATCCATATTCTAGGCCTATAGTTCACAATAATTATTTATTCTTCACAGTGAACAAATAACTGCTTTTCTCATTTTCTCTTAAATTTTATATATTCCAGGCTCTCCTAAGAATAGGACTAATTTCTAGTATAAAACCAATTCAATAAAGGCATTTCAGAAAAGCTACTATATCCTAACTTTTTTTCATCAGAAAGAACAAAAAGTTCAACCTTAATTTTAAAAATATTATGCAACACCCATGAGAGTTCTAAGATGTGGGCTTTTCTTCTCTTGAAGCCTAAATATCTGAATGATGAGGAGGAGATGCCAAGCTCATCATTTTACATTAACCTTTAAACAATTAAAAATGAGTCACATTGCAGAGCCTCCTGAAAAAATCTATAACCACTAAAACAAGTTTGGTTTGATCATCTATACAGGCAAAACTAAGCATGTAACAAATGTCTACTACCAATATTATGACCTGCAATCAGAGAGACAACCTACAGAGCTTGCCCACCACTAAGTACATCTAGGAAAGAAGAGGGAAGGGAAGGAGAAAGGAACAAGTATGTATATAATGCTTACTATGTGCCAGGTACCATGCTAAGTGCTTTTTAAAAAATATGATCTCATATGATATTCATAATAACACTGGGAGGTAGAAGTTATTATTACACCCATTTTATAGTTGAGGGAAATGAGGCAAACAGAGATTAAGTCACTTGCTCAGGGTCATACAGCTAGTAAGTATCTGGGGCCAGATGTGAACTCTCTTCTTCCTGACTCCAGGCCTAGCGCTCTATCCACTGTTCCACCAGCTGCCTCCAGACAGTACAATGAGTTTGGCCCAACGTTAAACAAGTGGAAGAAGGTGGCCTGGAATACCAGGAAATTTCAAAGTGTCTCTAATGACCTCAAGCCTGTCCTAGAGGTAAAGGCCTAAGATAGATATAGATATAGATATACACACACACACATACATGTACATATGTATGTATACATATGCATGTACACACACAACACATACACACATACACACACCCTACACACTAATAGTTTACCAGTGTTGTGTGTGACTGTCAGATATGGACCATAACAATCTTGAAAGAATTAAAAGTGAGTTATCATTAAGAGGGTAATGGAAAGTTGTATGATTGTGAAAAGACTACAATAAATAACCAGCGAAGGGGCAGCTAGGTGGCACAGTGGATAGAGCTCTGGCCTTGGAGTCAGGAGGACCTGAGTTCAAATCCAACCTCAGACTTACTGGCTATGTAACCCTGGGCAAGTCACTTAACCCCAGTTGCCTCACAAATAAATAAATAACCAATGAGGAACTTCCATGAGCAGTTTTTTCATATACAAAATGAGAGACTGCTCTAGATAATCTTCATATTCTAAATCTAAGTTGTGTTTAAGAGAGGTCTTTCTACTTAGTTTTGCTTCCTCCAGTCATCACAGTCTGACCTTATAATGTCTACTAAGCAAATCTTGCTTTTTGACACAATTTAGCAGAATAGCTGCCTAAGTCCTTTGTTCACTATTCTGTATGTCTTATTTACTTTTCTTCATCATTGAGCTTAAAGCCCCTCAGGAAGCCTTTGAAACCAAATTCTAAATGATAACTATTGAAAATGAGGGTCAGATTTTTTTTTTGGCTAGGCAATGGGGTTAAGTGACTTGCCCAGGGTCACACAGCTAGTAAGTGTTATGTGTCTGAAGCTGGATTTGAACTCAGGTCCTCCTGAATCCAGGCCCAGTGCTCTATCCACTTTACCACCTAGCTACCCCTGAGGGTCAGATTTTTAAAAGATGGTGTTCACACGATATCAATGAGAGGAATTCCAAATTTAATTTGCTTCATTGTGAAGTTTTAGTTGAAAGTGACCTTACCAGTGAGTTCTCTCCAGGCCTTTCCTAGGCTCTCTTGTCTTCTCTTTCTATACTTGGTAATCTCCTTAGTACCCATCTCTACAAAGATAACTCCCACTTCTGTCTGCCCACGCTCAGTCTCTCACCTCCAGCTTCCTACTGGACATCTAAAATAGGATGTCACAAAGACATCTTAACAACATGTACAAAACATAACTCATTATCTTTGCCCCCAAGTCCTCCCCTCTTCCCAACTTCCCAACTACTCTCAAGAGCACAACAATCCCCCTGGTCACCTATGTGCACAATCTCAGTGTCATATTATACTCTTCCACTTTCTCTCATCTCACATATCCAATATGTCACCAAATCTCATTTTCTACCTTCACAACATCTTTTGTACATTTCACCTGCTCTTTACTCACTCAGCCGAACCCTAGTTCACGCTCTCATCACCTCTTGCCTGGCTACAGGAATACTCTTTTGGTTTGATCTTCCTGTTTCAAGTCTGTCCCCAGTCTAGTACATCCTCCACTCAGCCACCAAAATGATCTTCCAAAGCACAGGTCTGTGCATGTCACCCCCACTCACCCATCTCCCACTCAATAAACTTCAGAAGCCCCCTATCACCTATAGGATCACATATTAAATCCTGTTTAACATTTAAAGTCCTTCACAGCTTGGTTCCTTTCCAGTCTTTTTATACGTTACTCTCTTCCATACACTCTACAATCTAGCAACACTGGCCTATTTGCTGTTCCTTGCACGGGAGACTCCTTCTCAATTCTGTCTTCTCACTGACCGTCCCCAGTGTTTATAATGCTGTTCATCTTCCCCTTCTATTGGCTTCCTTCAAAGAAATGCGAAAATGTGCTCTCTGCACTCTAGGGAGAGCAGGAATCCCTAGAGAGCAGAGACCACATTTTTGTATTTCTATAAACTCCAGCACTTAACACAGAGACTGGCACATTGTAAAGTACTAAATAAATGCATACTGATTGTTGACCAACAGGAGGGAAATTAAGGGAGACAGTAACTTCAAAAGGAGTCAAATTCAAAGGCATCAGAACACAATACTCCAAGGCTTTCAAATCTACATTCAAGCCAGACTCTTTCAGTAATTATACAAAACTCTGTTATCTTTTCCTAATGCTCCTTTTATTAATAAATCACATAAATTTCCATGGTCCCTTTCTCAAAGAACTTCCAAATTCTGTGCACCCTCCATTCTCAGCAAAAGAATCCTAGGAAATGAAGTTACTGGTGGGGAGCAACACGATAGCTGTTTAATAATACCATAGCAACAGCCAACAGCAAAGGGCTCAGAGGTCCACTG